TATTATTGTTAGAGAGAGGAGGGGAATGTGAGAGAGAGAATTTGAGAGAGAGAATGTGAGAATGTGTGAGAGAGAAGGGGACTGTGGGAATGAGACAGAGAGAATGTGTGAGAGGGTGAATGTGAGAGGAAGCAAAAATGTTAGAAAGAGAATGTGTAAGAGAGAGGATGAATAGGAGAGAAAGAGAGATAACATGAGAGTATATGTGAAGAGAACAAGAGAATGAGAGAGGTAGAGAAACATTTAATATTCCCAGTGTCTCTAATAATAATAAGCTTGTAATTGACATAGTGCCTTCATAAGTCGATGAGACGTCTCAAAATGCTTCACAGGATATACTGTAAAGTGTAGTAACTGTGTTTTGTAGGTGAAACGCAGTAGCCAGTTTGTGTACAGCAATGTCTGACAAACAGCCATGGAGTGAGTGAGAGAGTTTATTTGGGGAATTGTTGGCCAGAACATTGGGAGAGAGAAACTCCCTTCTCTTTTCCAACAGCACCGCAAGAGATCCTTAACATCCACTGAACAGACAGGCGGGAGCTTCGTTTAACATCTCCTCCGAAGGATGGCGTCTCCGACAATGTAACACTTTCCCAGTGCTGTGCTGCAATGTCATCGTACAGTGTGATTCTAATTCCCAACGTGGGCTCAAACCCACAAACTACAGACTCAGAGGTGAGAGAGTGAGTGACTGAGCCAGGCTGACACACAATGTCTAAACATCTAATATTGTTTCACAGAGAAACGATGTACTACAATATATCCTTTGAAGATGTTTAAGATGTTTAGACGACGTGATAAGGCATTATATCAAATGCAAGATTTATTATTGTTAGAGAGAGGAGGGGAGCGTGAGAGGGAGAGAACATGAGAGAGAGAAGACCAAGGCCCTCCTGCTTGGCTCCAGTCAGCGCCTCCAAATCTTGAGTGCTGACAGCATCACCTTTCATGGATGCACTCTACATCTCACGGACCCAATATGGAACCTCAGTGTTCTGTTTGACCCTCAACTGTCCTTCATCTCCCACATCTGTGACATGACCCGCTCTGCCTTTCTCCATCTCCGCAAAATTGCCCGGCTCCACCAATGTCTCCCACCACAGGCTGCCGAGACCCTCATAACATCCACGATTGACTATGCCAACTCCCTACTTGTGGGCCTCCCCAACTCCTCCCTCCACAGGCTGCAGATCATCTAGAACTCTGCAGCCCATGTGCTTTCCTGCACCAGGCTCCGTGACCCTATCACCCCCATTCTCGCCCAACTCCACTGGCTTCCCATCACACAGAGGATAGAGTTCAAGATGCTGATCCTCACCTTCAAAGCCCTCCATGGTCTTGCTCCCCCCGACCTCTGTGACCTCCTAACCCTCTACCAATCGGTCTGGTCCCTCCGCTCAGCGGGCTCCGGCCTGCTTCACGTCCCCTGTCTGGCCCACTCCACAATTGATGGGTGGGGCTCAGCCTTTCTGTCCCCACCCTCTGGAACTCTATCCCACAGTCCCTCTGTCTTGCCTCCTCCCTTGCCTCCTTCAAGACACGTCTCATGCCCCCCCCCCACCTCTTCAGTCACCCTCTTTCCCCTACCCTCCCCACCCTGCACCCCTCAGCTTGGGTCCAGATCCCTGACTGTCCTCCTGACGTGAAAGGCGCTGTACAAATTCAATTTGTTGTTGTTGTCTCAAATCGCTTCACAGGATATACTGTAAAGTATATGTTTTATGTGTGAAACACGGCAGCAATGTCCCACAAACAGTCATGGAGCGAGCGAGCAATTCTATTTGGGGGATTGATTACCTCTCTCTCACATTGCCTCTCTCTCATTTCCCCCATCTCATTCACAATAAATCTCTCTCTTCCCTTCTCTGTCTATCTCACATTCTCTCTGAAATACACTCTCTCTCACAATTTCCTCTCTCTCTATCTGTCTCTCATATACCCCTCTTTCTTATGTTTTCTCACACACATTCTCTCTCACACTTTCACCCCCCAAACCCTTTCCCCCACCCTCCCTCTCACTGTCTCTTTTTCTTGATGACAGTCACTCTGAACTCCCGAATCATCATTGACATTGCTGGGATTAACAAGAACTAGTTGGAAGAAATTACTCTTAATCTTTATTTTAAAAATGCTTACAACTATTCAAGGACTAAAGATCTTACTTCAAATCCAGTGGGTGTTGGGTGCAGTGCGTGTCCAGTGAGTGTGAGACTGTCGGAATGTGAGAGTGAATGTGTAAGTATATTTGTGTGTGTCTGTGACTGTGTGTCTGTGTATGTGAGAGTGCATGTGTGTAAGTATGTGAGTGTGTGTGTCAGTATGTGAGTGTGTGTCTGTGTTTGTGAGAGTGTATGTGTGTGAGTGTCTTTGTGTGTGGGAGGGGTTGCCACCACACTACGCTTGACAGTATTTCTCTGTGAAACAATGTTAGACGTTTAGACACTGTGTAAATCTGGCTCACTCACTCACTCTCTCACCTCTGAATCAGAAAGCTATGGGTTTCAGCCCCACTTGGAATTACAGTCTAAGCTGACACGCCAACGCAGGTCAAGGGGAGCATTACATTGGCAGAAACGTCATTGTTCAGATAAGACATTAAACCGAGCTCTCGTCTGCCTGTTCAGGTGGACATTGAAGATCGCTCTCGCCGCTGTTGGAAAAGAGAAGAGTTTCTCTCTCTCCTGATGTCATGGCCCACATTCCCCCAATAAAATCTCTTGTTTACTCGGTGGCTGTTGTAGAACATTGCTGTGTACAAACTGACTGCCGTGTTTGACCCACAAAATATATAGTCACAACAAGTTTACACCCAGCGACATCCCACAAACAGTCGTGGAGCGAGTGATTTTATTTGGGGGTTTGCCGGCCTCTCTCTCATTTCCTCCCTCTCTCAAACTTTCCACCTCTCCCTTCTTCTCTCTTTCATACATTCTCTCTCTCACACAATCCCTTTCTCTCTGTCTCTCACATTCTCTCTCTCTTTCTCTCACATTTTGTCTCACACATCCTCCCCTCCCCCCTCTCACTATCTCTCTTGACAACAATCACTCTGAGCTCCCCAATCATCATTGACATAACTGGGATTAACATGAACTAGTTAAAGAGATTACTCTTAATACTTATCTTAAAAATGTTTACAACCATTTAAAGACTTAAGATCTTACTTGAAATCCAGTGTGGAGTCAAGTGCAGTGTGTGTGCGTTTGAGTGTAAATCTGTGTATGAGTTTGTAGTGTGTGTGTGTCTGTGTCTGGTTGGATATGTGTGTGTTTGCCTGGGTATGTGTGTGTGCCAGGGTGTGTGTGTGACTGGTTGTGTATGCATGTGCGCGTCTGCTTGAATTTTTTGCCTCCACAATACACTTAACAGTATTTCTCTGTGAAACAACATTAGACTGTGGAGGGAGGAGTTGGGGAGGCCCACAAGTAGGGAGTTGGCAATAGTCAATCGTGGATGTTATGAGGGTCTCGGCAGCCTGCGGTGGGAGACATTGGTGGAGCCGGGCAATTTTGCGGAGGTGGAGAAAGGCAGAGCGGGTCATGTCACAGATGTGGGAGATGAAGGACAGTTGAGGGTCAAACAGAACACTGAGGTTCCATATTGGGTCCGTGAGATGTAGAGTGCATCCATGAAAGGTGATGCTGTCAGCACTCAAGATTTGGAGGCGCTGACTGGAGCCAAGCAGGAGGGCCTTGGTCTTCTCTCTCTCATGTTCTCTCCCTCTCACGTTCCCCTCCTCTCTCTAACAATAATAAATCTTGCATTTGATATAATGCCTTATCACGTCGTCTAAACATCTTAAACATCTTCAAAGGATATAGTGTAATACATCGTTTCTCTGTGAAACAATATTAGATGTTTAGACATTGTGTGTCAGCCTGGCTCAGTCACTCACTCTCTCACCTCTGAGTCTGTAGTTTGTGGGTTTGAGCCCCACGTTGGGAATTAGAATCACACTGTACGATGACATTGCAGCACAGCACTGGGAAAGTGTTACATTGTCGGAGACGCCATCCTTCGGAGGAGATGTTAAACGAAGCTCCCGCCTGTCTGTTCAGTGGATGTTAAGGATCTCTTGCGGTGCTGTTGGAAAAGAGAAGGGAGTTTCTCTCTCCCAATGTTCTGGCCAACAATTCCCCAAATAAACTCTCTCACTCACTCCATGGCTGTTTGTCAGACATTGCTGTACACAAACTGGCTACTGTGTTTCACCTACAAAACACAGTTACTACACTTTACAGTATTTCCTGTGAAGCATTTTAAGACGTCTCATCAATTTATGAAGGCACTATGTCAATTACAAGCTTATTATTATTAGAGACACTGGGAATATTAAATGTTTCTCTACCTCTCTCATTCTCTTGTTCTCTTCACATATACTCTCATGTTGTCTCTCTTTCTCCTATTCATCCACTCCCTTACACATTCCTTCTCTCTCATTTTTTCTTCCTCTCACATTCACCCTCTCACGCATTCTCTCTGTCTCATTCCCATATTCCCCTTCTCTCTCACACATTCTCACATTCTCTCTCTCAAATTCTCTCTCTCTCACATTCCCCTCCTCTCTCTAACAATAATAATAATTGCATTTGATATAGTGCCTTATCACGTCATCTAAACGTCTTAAGCAGCTTCACAGGATAAATTGTAAAGTGTAGTGACTGTATTTTGTGTGCAAAACACGGCAGCCAGATTGCACACAGCGACATCCCCAAAACAGTTGTGGAGTGAGTGAGCAATCCAGGGATAATCCTCATACAATGGGTCTCAGCCGGGGGCTGGTTTGGCTCAGAAACCTCCCAAGTCATTGTGGAGTCCGCCCAAGACAGATAGGTCACAGGTCACCCAAAACACCTGGTGGGGGCAGGGGGTGGCGGGACGGGAGGAGGTCTTGTGGGGGTGGGGAGCAAGAGCGTTAATAAAGCTCTGGGGCTCTGGGCTTTAAACTGGCTGTTCAAGACATGAATGTGCGTCTCTGGTGAGACTATATAATGTCCAGTTTCTCAGCGAACCTCACAGCACATTTCCTCCTCACACCCATTTAGTGTGGACACAAACTGTGTGGGTGAGTCCATCACAACTCTCTCCGTCTTTCTCTCTCGCTCCTCAATCAATCTACTCACTCTCAGAAATCTATCTCCTTCTCAAACCTCAATCGATTGTCTAACTCCTTAAGTTTCTATCCATCTCCCTCTCACACCTCAATCCATACCCTGACTCCCCAAGAGAGAACGAGGGAAGCGAGCGGGGAGTAAGGCTTTGAATTCAGTGAATCATGAGAGCACTGGTCAGAATCTCGATAGGAGTCAGTGGAGAGTGGCAATGGGTGGGTGAAGAGGGAGAGGATTTCAAGCTGGAAGAGTTAAGGTCCTTGGGAAGGGAATGTAAAGGAAAGGGCAGAGAACTATCTCCAGGAGTTGACAATAACTATCCCGTCTTACAGAGAAGGTGCTATGTTGCTGTCGTTCTTAATTGTCAGTGTTCTGGTCACTGTATCGATTTCCACAAGGACTTTTCATCCCGATGATCCCTGGGAAACCTGGAAAAATCTCTTTGGAAAAAGATATAACACTCAGGTTAGTCAAACGTCCATCTGCAGTGAAAGGTGCTGTGTAAAAGTGATGAAATGTTGTGAGACAACTCTGGGGATGTGAGTGTGGGTCACAGTGTTGAGTGACAGTCTGACTCAGTCTCTCTCTCTCTCTCTCTCTCTCTCAGGATGAAGAGTATTTAAGGTTAAACATTTGGCTGCAGAATGCGATGAAAGTGATCAACCACAATGTGGACTTTAAACTGGGGAAAGCATCGTTCTCTCTCGCTCTCAATCACTTGACTGATTTGGTGAGTCTCTGTGGGGAGAGGGAGTGCATTCAGACAGGATCAAACCCGAACATCTGAGACGATACATCTCTTTCTCTCTCTCTCTCTCCTTTTCTCTTTCTCTCTCCTCTTTCTTTGCTCTCTGTTACTTTCTCTCTTTATTCTTAATCTATCTTTCCTTGTCCTCTCTCTCTATGTCCTCTTCCTCTCTCTCTCTCTCTCTGTTCACTTTCTGTCTCTTTCTATCTTTCCTTCATGGAATTCATGGATTGAACATTTCAGGAGGTGGTCACCACTCAGCCACAGAGGGTTCAGAAGGAGAGTGGGTGGGTGGAAGGAAGAGGGGACGGACAGCGCATGTAGGAGCAGGAGTAGGCCATTCGGCCCTTCGAGCCTGCCCCGCCATTCAATCATGGCTGGTCTTCTAATCTAACTCCAGCTAATAACCTGACCCTGACTTATCCCCATATCCCTTAATCCCTTTTGCAATAAGAAATCTTATCTATCTCAGTCTTGAATATGTTCAAGGACTGAGCGTCAACAGCCCTTTGGGGTAGTGAGTTCCATACATTCACCACTCTTTGAATGAAGAAGTTCTTCCTCAACTCAGTGCGAAAGGGCTGCCTCTGGTTTTAAGGTTGTGACCCCTGGTTTTAGTTTCTCCAACTGGGGAAACAATCTCCCACTATCTACTCTATCTGCCCTTTGATGATCTTACAGGTTTCTATAAGATCCCCTCTAATTCTTCTATATTCTAAAGAATATAGGCCAAATTGGTCAGCCTATCCTCGTAACTCATCCCCTTCATCCCTGGTACTAATTTAGTAAATCTACGCTGCACCCCCTCCAAGGCAAGTACATCCTTCCTTAAATAAGGAAACCAAAACTGCCCCCAGTATTCCAGGTGTGGTCTCACCAGGGCCCTATACAGTTGCAGCAAGACTTCCCTACTCTTATACTCTAATCCTTTCATAATGAATGCTAACATACCGTTCGCCTTCCTAATTGCTGCTGCACCTGCAGACTAACTTTCTGTGATTGGTGTACAAGGACACCCAAGTCCCTCTGGACGCTAACACATTCCAATCTCTCCCCTTCTAAAAAATAACCCGCTCTACTGTTTTTGCTACGTAGGTGGATGACTTTGCACTTCCCTACATTATACTTCATCTGCCACCTACCTGCCCAATCACCTAACCTATCTATGTCTCGCTGCATTTTTTTAATGTCGTCCTCTGTGTTGACATTTCCTCCGAGGTTTGTGTCATCCGCGAATTTAGATATATTAACTTCGATGTCCTCATCTACATCGTTGATGTAGATGGTAAATAGCTGAGGCCCAAGGACTGATCCTTGTGGCACTCCACTAGTCACATCCCGCCAATCTGAAAAGGACCCGTTTATCCCTACTCTTTGTTTCCTACCCGTTAACCATTCCCCAATCCACGTTAATATGCTCCCCCCAATTCCATGGGCCCTTATCTTTTGAACTAACCTTTTACGCGGCACTTATCGAATGCCCTCTGGAACTCCAAATAGACCACGTTCACTGATTCACCCTTATCTAGTTTACTGGAAATATCCTCAAAAAACTATGAGATTTGTCAAACATGACTTCCCTTTTGTAAAGCCATGTTGACTTGGCCTAATTATATTGTGCCCTAAATACCGCACTACCACATCTTTAATCAATGATTCTAAAATTTTTCCTATCACTGATGTGAGACTAACTGGCCTATAGTTCCCCATCTTTTCCTTTCCACCTTTTTAAAATAGTGGTGTGACATTTGCGATCTTCCAATCCATGGAATTTCATGGGAATGAGGTATTTTATAAGCATATAGAGTAAAAGGTCCTTCAAAGGTAGGATGGATCCAATTAGTGACCGAAGAGGAAATCTTCTTGTGGAGGCAGAGGGCATGGCTGACATATTGAATGAATACTTTGCATCTGTCTTCACATGCCACAGTGTCGGAGGAGAGGGTAGAGAAATTGGATACGATAAGAATAAAGGTAATTTTAGTATCTGAGAGGAGGTCCTATAAAGGCTGACAGTTTTCAAGGTCGATAAATCACCCAGTCCAGAGGGATGCATCCTAGGTTACACAGGGAAGTAAGTGTGGAAATAATGGAGGCTGTGGCCACAATCTTTCAATCCTCCTTGGACACTGGGGTGGTGCCATAAGACTGGAGGGTTACAAGTGTACAAAAAGAGGCAGAAGGATAAACGCTGGAACTACAGGCCAGGCAGCCTGATGTCAGTAGTGGGGTAACATCTGGAGACTATAATCCGGGACAAAATAAAATTTCACTTAGAAATAATGGGTTAATAAAAGACAGCCATCAAAGACTTGTTAAAAGCAAATCGTGTCCAGCAAAACTGATAGATTTTTGATGAAGTAAAGGAGAGGGTGGATAAAGTGCAGTTACTATAGTTTGTATGGATTTCCAAAAGATCATTTGATAAAGTGCCACTTAGGAGACTTGTGAGCAAAATAGAAGCCCACGGTATTAAAGGACAGTGGAAGCGGATACAGAACTGTCTGGGAGACAGAAAGCAGAGAGTGGTGGTGAATGATTGTTTTTCTGACTGGAGGGAAATGTGCAGTGCTGTCCCCGGGGGTCAGTATTGGGACCACTGCTGATTTGATCTATATAAATGACCTGGACTTGGGTATAGGGAGTACAACTTCGAAGTTTGCAGATGATACTAAGCGAGGAAAAGTAGTAAACAGCGAGGAGGATAGGAGAGGACTGCAAGGAGACATAGACAGACTGGTAACATGGGCCGACACGGGGCAGATGAAGTTTAATGTGGAGAAATTCAAAGTGATGCATTTTGGGAGGAAGAATGAGGAGAAGCAAAATAAGCCGATGGTACAATTCTAAAGGGGGTGAAGGGACAGAGAGACCTGGGGTTCATATAAGTAAATCTTGAAAGTGGCAGAACAGGTAGATACAGCTGTTAGAAAAAGCATACGGGATACTGGGCTTTATAAATAGGGGCACAGAATACAAAAGTCAGGAAGTTATGGTGATTCTTCATAAAACACTGGTTTAGTACTGTGTTCGGTTCTGTGTTAGGAAGGATGTCAAGGTATTGGATTAGGTGCAAATGAGTTTTACCACGATGCTACCAAGAATAAGGGACTTCAGTTGTCAGGAGAGGCCAGAGAAGCGAGGATTATTCTCCTTGGAGCAGAGAAGGTTAGGAGACTTAATAGAAATTTTCAAAATTATGAGGGGATTTGATAGGGTGAACAAGGGAAACTATTTTACAGCCAACACAGATATGATGGGTCGAATGGCCTCCTTCTGTGCTGTATAATTCTATGATTCATTGCTCTTTCATTGTCCTCACGCTGACCCTCTATTCTTATTCTCTTTCTTTCCTTCTCTCTGTCTCTCTTTTTAGTCTCTTTCTCTATTCATTCTCTGTCCCAATCGCACTCTTCACACTCCATTCTTCCCCTCGCTCTTCTTTTCCTCCTCTTCTCTCCTCTACTCTCTCCTTAATATCTCCTTCTCGCCTCTTTCTCTCTGTCTTACTTTCTTTTGTCTGCTTTCTTTCTCTCTCTCTTTTTCTCCCTCACATTCTCTTCGTCTTCTATATTTTCCTCTCTTTTCTCGTTCTCTCTCAGTGTCTCTCTCTCTCTTTCTTGCTAGTCTGTGTCTGTGTCTCAGTCTCTCTCTCTCATATAGACTAAGATGATGCTCCAGTGCAGGGGGATAGAGCACCGCATTTTCGGAGAGCCATCCCTTAACTGAAACATTAAACCTCCGTCACTCCCTGTCTGTACCCTGTTCGGGGTGGATGTTAAAGATCTCCCTCTGCACTGTCAGAGGAAAACAGAAGAGATTTTCTCTCTCTCTCCCTCTCTCTCTGTCCCGGTTGACAGATCAAACCGTTGATCGCTATTTGCATAGACTTTGCTGTGCACCAACGCAGGCTGCAATGTTAAACACACAGTCACTGCACTTCACAGCAGGTTCTGGGAAGTGCTTTGAGATGACCTCCTAGGGTGAAAAGCGCCAGGTCAGATTTGTGTGTCTCTGTTTGGATAGACAGATGAGGAATTTGTGAACATGTATCTCGGGATCAGACCATCTGAAGAAGAGATAGAGGATGAAGAGACGGTATTAGCGGAGGAGGAGGTAGAGAACAAGACACAATTACCTCGGAGCATTGATTGGCGAAATACTGATCGAGTCACACATGTCAAATCTCAGGTAAGATACGCGGAAACTGTTCGCCGTGATCAACCAGGAAACCTGGGGAATCACGGGATGGATTGAAGGGCAACAGGGGATGGACAGAGACTTGGAGTCAGTGGGTGGATTTACATTTGAGGGGGAGATGGGTAGAGACGTCGACAGTCAGGGGATGGATTGTGGTGTAAGATGAAGATGGATAGAGAAATGTGGAGGTTGGAGATGGATTGAGGTGTTAGAGGAAGGTGGATAGGGATTTGCAGAGTTTGGGGATTGATCAAGGTAACAGAGGGAGATGGATAGAGACTTGAGGATGGGGATGGAGTGAAATGTGGGAGTGTGATAGAAAGAGACGTGTGGAGTCAAGGAATGGATTGAGATGGAAGAGGGAGGATTGATAGAAACATGGGAAATCAGGGGATACATTGAGGTGTGAAAAGAAGATAGATAGAGATTTGAAGTGTCAGGGTGGATTTAGGTGTGAAAGGGAGATGTATAGATACTTGAGTAGTCAAGGGTGGGGTGAGCTGTGAGAGGTTGATAGATAGAGACTTGAGGAAGGGGATGAACTGAGGTGTGAGAGGGAGATGGTTAGAGACATGTGAAGTCAAGGGATTAATTGGGAGACAAGAGGGAGATGGATAGAAACTTGGGGAGTCAGGGAATGGATAAATATGTGAGATGGAAATGGGTGGTAGGGATGGATTGATGTGTGAGCGGAAAATGGATAAAGACTTGACGATTCAGGAATTGGATTGACGTGTGAGAAGGAGATGGATAGAGACTTGGGAGTCGGGGATGGATTGAGGAGTGAGCGGCAGATGGATAGGGACTTTGGCAAGCATCTGATAATCAAACTGAGATATTTTCCTCTCTCCTCTCAGAAAAGGTGTGGGGCTTGTTATGCGTTCTCTGCTCTGGGGGCAATTGAGGGTCAATTGACCAAAAATGGACTTCCTTTGACATCCCTGAGTGAGCAGCAAATTGTTGATTGTGCCAAAGGCTTCACTGCTTACGGCTGTTCTGGAGGTCGACCCAGTGGAGCTTTTAAATATATCAAAAAATACGGTATTATGTCTCAGAAAAATTACCCTTACAAAGCAAAGGTAAGAGTTTGTGTTTTATACATATATCTTCACATATATGTGCGGTGTGAGCGGTGCTGTGTGAGTGCGAGTGATTGTAAAGCTCTGAGACATACATGTTGTGAGAGTACCGCTGTGTGCTCTGGGACACTATCCCGCGTGAAGGCCACTATATAAATGCAAGTTGTTGTCGTGTGGTGTGTCTTGTTTTACAGAAAGGAAAGTGCACATATAACAAAGATTTAATTGTAACAAAAATTAAGAGCTTCAAACAAGTCAAGCCCAAAACTGAAAAGGCTTTAGCCAATGCTGTTGCGACAATTGGGCCAATCTCTGTGTTAGTGACAAGCAACACTAACAATTTTAGACATTACAAAAATGGTAAGCATTGTGTAAATGCAAGTGGTGAAGCGTTGTGAGATGCCTCTCTGGGGTGAAAGGCGCCGCGCAAATGTAAGTGGTGAACATTGTGAGACGTCTCTCATTGCAGGAATTTTGTATGACACTGAATGCACACCTCGGAAACCAGTTGACCACGGGATGTTATTGGTCGGTTTTGGGGAGGAGAACGGACAGAAATATTGGATATTAAAAAATAGGTAAGTTTATGGCAGCCTTTCTGTCCCCAAATCATGCGATCGTGGCGAGGCTTTATAATCGACTGATGAAAACGCTCTCTTTCAGTTGGGGGAAACGTTGGGGTAAAAATGGTTACGTTTATCTGGCACGAGACAGAGGGAACCATTGCAAAATTGCGAGTGCAGCCACCTATCCTGTCCTCTAAGAGACTGACATGTGGAGTGAGTAGGTCTGTGTGGGAGTGAGGCATTGTGAAGCTCTGAGACAATAAATCAGATATTTGCATAACTAAACCCAATATCTTGTCCTTTTCATTGCTGATGGATTAACTAGAGGTGTCACTGTTAATATCAGAGTATATAGAGCTGTCACCCTAATAAAATAATCCTTGCATTTGATATCGTGCTTTTTCACGTCTTTTCACATCTTTGAAGGCGCTTCACAGAATGTACTGTAAAGTGAATTGACTGTATATTTGTGGGCGAACGCAGCAGCCAATTGCGCACAGCAATGTCCCACACACAGTTGTGGATTGAGTGACCAAATTATTATTGTGTTTTCTTTCTTGAGGGAATATTATCAGGCGTCTGGAGTAAGGAAACTTACCCAAGGTTTCGCCCTGCCGCGAATCGAATCCAGGTCTCTCGCTTGCGAGGCGAGTGCTCCAACCGCTGAGCTACAATATCAACCTCTATAGATGTGTCCCTGTTAATATCAGACTATATAGAGGTTCGCACTGTCAATATCAGACTATATAGAGGTGTCTCTGTTAATATCAGACTATATAGAGGTGTCTCTGTTAGTATCAGACTGTATAGAGGATGGCCGTGCTGTCCCACTACAGGCCCGCCTTGCTCAGGAACCCGACTACCCAGACCGCCAGAGGGCTGGCTAGGTTCTGACATTCTTTTGCCAAACATCTCACCTTGGTGCCAGTTCAGCTCCTTGGAGCCCCCACTTACACCCCCTCCACAAGGAGAACAGTCACTAGTTGGTCATTTGACATTCGATATGCATGGATTTGAGCCCTCATGAGGTGGACGGTAGGTACCAGAAACTCGCTGTGAGCATCTAGTGGGCAACACAGTTCAGTATGAAATTCATGAGAGCATTGCCACCATCTTCCTGTCCGCAGCTCAGGCACATATGCCTTCCCATTCCACCAGTTGGATGTATGGAGGTTAAGCAGCAGCTGTTTGCCGCTCTGAAGGCCAATCAAGATGGATTCCAGAAGAGGAAGGTCTTCAGACACGATCTGAAGATGGGGAAGGAAGGGGCAAGGCGGAGGGAGGGATAGAGGAAGTGTTCAGAGTTTCAGAGCATATTGGATGAAGGTGTGGCCACCAAAGGTGGAACGGAGGTCACGAGGGACAGAAAAAGTTTCCTCATCAGCTACGTGGAGGGCATTTACATTCAGTGAGATAGGAGGACCTTTAAAGGACAACTTGTGATGTGCCGGAGATTTAGATGCGATTTAGAAAATTATAATTTCTCTGTAAACTGGTGAAACTACTCTTTTGTATCTTTTGAAAGGTTTTATGTTTTATTTTTGTTAAAGAAAACCTTAGCAGTGGAGGGATGCTTCCCCTCCGCCTCTCTCTCTCCCTCACTTTCACCCGAATCCCTCCCTCTCTCTCCCCCCTCCCTCTCTCCCCCATCCCCTCTCTTCCCCTTCCCTCTCTCCCCCCCTTCCCTCTCTCCCCCTCCCGTCTCTCACTTCTCTCCCCTTTCTCTCTCTCTCCCCCCGCCCTCTCTCCCCCTCTCTCCCCTCACTATCTGCAGCGGCTGGAACCGGTGGTTGGTTGCTAAGGAGGCGATTGGTAAGGGAGGTGTTTATCTTCCTGACAAACTGCAGTGAAGGTTCTTCCCAAAGGATCCTGCATCTGCCCTGGGAGGATCTTCACCTGGGAGGGAGGGAGGGAGGGAGGGGAAGTTTGAATAGAATCACCTGTCGGGCTGCTATGGACTATAACATTTTGCCGATCTGCCTCCCTTAGGAAATGACAGTCAAATATTACATTGTGCGGAGCTAACTTTGGATTGGTTTCCACCTCGATTTTTATAATTTCTGACTATTCCAATATTCTCGATGTTCGTACATTTGACTGAGAGAATCTCAAATTTGTGGTCGAGGTTTCAGCCTCTCTGCCCCCAACCTCTGGACCACATTCCCTTCGCCTCGCCCCCTCCCTCGTCTCCTTCCAAGCCGCCTCCTCGGCGGTGTCCTCGGCCACCCTCCTACCCTCTCTGCTACTCTCATGCCTGTTAAAGACCTCAGTCCCAATGCTCTCTGTGTGTATGAGAGGCTCCTGTGCACCACTGAGGTTTGCCACATAAGGTTTTCCCCGTGAAGCCAACACCCATTAATAGATTTCCCAAACGCTCAGTGTCCGCTTAGATCTGAGCTCCTTGTGCACTTTCTCTATTTCAGACCGCTGTGCTGCCTCGTTCAATGGTGATTGACCTATAATGGTCACTGCTTAAATAGTTTTTTCAATTAACTTTCAGTTAAAGACCATTTCCATCTCCACTTGTGCCTCCAGCAAAGAAGAATTCAATTTATTTGTTATGCTTTCATATTTTTCATTAAGGGTTAAGTTTTGTAACTCTGGTGATTTAATTACATTTCTAGCTGGCTCCCTATATGTTCCTGTTAACTGTATTTTCCAGATAACAGCCCTGTTGCTAGGAATATATCTCTGCTCCAATTTGCCCCTTTTGGGGGAAAACTGCGCTTGCTGTTCAAATTCAGAATCGGATCTGCTCTTATTTTGGGCTATTGGCGATTGTCAGCTGTTCCTCAGTTTCCTCCCTCAGGGCGATTCCCCAGGACTTTAAACTGGCACCAAGATCGAGGTGCTCAGCCTCCGTGTACCTGGTGAATATCAGTATCAGTGTATGTCCTGGACGGCCTCTGTATTAGTTCCTAACTCCAGGATGCAAATTTCTACTCTTGAGGAATGTGACTATTAGGAGCCACACGTTGACAGTTATTCCCGATTGGCTGCTATCCCCAGCGCCTCATCATCACTAAGTACAACTGCTTGTTTAGTACTTTTCTCTACCTCCCTCGCTAAGGATATAACAGAGATTCAAAGGTTATGCTGAGCAGGTAAACAGATGTTTATTAACTACAGACAAGTGTATGTCTGACTAACTTACTTCTAGACCATATGATTCAGAATAAACACAACATTGGATACAGATACACTAACATTCACCTGCAGAACAAGAAGTGGCAGCAATTCACTAAGGTTAGCAAAATAATAATAAAAATAATCTTGACTTGGAGGTAGTCCCCTCAGCTCAGACATATACTTAAATTGTTGAGCATAAGGCCGGTGACTACGAGATAAGCCAAGCCCTCGGTATATAGTGTAAGGCTTCCCCCCTCAATCAAAGTCATCTTGGGTTTTTCCCAGCTCTAAACATCACATGCTCTAAATGGAAAGTAACTTTTTCCCAGACTTTAGTGTCTCCAGAGCTGCTTAAAATGAAATAAAAGCTGTTTGTCCTGCTGGGAACTCAACCTTCTTAAAGGGCACTCTCAACGTATAAATTATTAATATTTACAAGACATTTTCATATTTATACAGGATGCAGATTATACAAAAAACAGTAACCATGACAAATCCTTTCCATTAAATCATGCAATGAGATCGTTCAGATGATCAGTAATGTCCTTAAGGAAAGCAATGTTACTGAGCCAGTCTTTATCTTGAAGGAGCTTGCAGTCTTCAGGAAGTTCTCCCTTCCCCTCCTGAAACGTAAGCACTTTTTCTTTAAAATCCAAAATCTTTCAAGAGCCTTCCCCTTTGATAGCCAATGAACATTGCAGTGAAGGAGTAACTACCCTTCCTCAATTGTCTTCATCAAACATGTTACGAAATTCTCTGTGGTTTAATGCGCATGCACAAATTTTGTTTAAGCCTTGTTCAACCCCACCATCGTAGGTCATGCTTTCAGCCACAACGCCCCAAAACTCCAGAACTCTCTCCCTCAATCCCTCAGGCTTGTCCCCTCTCTCCCCTAAAGTCCCACCTGAAAACTTGATTCTTCGACCGTGTTTACGCCACCTCCCCCCTCCCCCCTCCCTCTGGCTCGGAGTCAGGATCCTGTAAATATTTAGAATTGGTGGCAAATCAAACACTGACCTCAGGGTTATTAATAATTTCTTTATTTAACAAGAACTACAAAAGGTAAACATAGAGAAACCTACTACAGTTAGCAGAATCAGTATACATATGATTACATTGATCTCATCGCAAGTCGGACCATGGAAATACTTGTCGCAACCCTCAGCCATCGCATTAGCATCTCATGCATCTGTGTCACGTTAAAACAGCTGAATTAAGATTGTATATCTATATGTATATATATATATATACACACACATCAGGAGCAGAATAAGATCTACACAATCGCATGGATACAAAAACTAAACAATCATCAGTATTATTGCCTCATATAATTAAAATAACAATTTGTGGTGTAACAATGGGGGTTGTGCTGAGGTGAGGTGTTATATTACCTGGTCTGATGTAATGTGGTGTGAAAAGAAGTTCAGTCTCTCGGTCTCCTCGCTGCTCTCTCTCTCTCTGTTTGGTCTACGGCCTGTACCGCCCGAGTCAACTCTTGGCTCTTTCCTCATGGCTGGTACCGATTTCAGCTCCTGGTCTCTGGGTGCCGGACGTTACACTGGTGATCTCTGCTGTTCCCTTTTCTCTGGCTCTCGATTCCGTTCCTCTGCCCTCTGTCCTGTTTCTCCTGCTCCAGTCTCGTAAGATACTGTGTCTTGAACTGAGCAGCGTATCGGCTCAAGGCGCAGGTAGGATGGTTCCTCCCGAAGTCTCTGCAGCTTAACCTGCTACGAAGTGTCGTCTCGTCCCAGAACAACTGCAGGGCTCTCCCCCTGCCTACCTCCACTGAGTCTCCTGCTCTCTGAGTATTTTACTCCTATACTTATACCTCTCTCACAGTATCTGGACAATAACCAGATCTTTCCTGGTCAGTGTCCTGCACCTCCTAACTCTTAACCTATGCCCCTTTAATGTGATCACTCTGATCAGGAATGTTTTTAGCTCATCATTCCTGGATAGTGTAGTTGGACCTTAGCTCATTTCTCTGATATAATTAAACAAAAAACAATGTTGTCCATTGTAACTTCCCCAACCTTGTCTTCGCTCATCTCTCTCCTGTAGTTGCCTTTAATTGGCCTGTAGCCATTGGAGATGGTATCCCTCGCATTCTAGCATTCTTCCCTGTTCTCGTGACCATCTTCCTCCCATTCTCCCTAATCTCTACACAACAACCTACCTTTCTTTCCCAAACCTTGAGACTACTTGCTTCTCACGATGGATTCTTCCTAGCAGGGTTATCTGAGACCGGACCGGACCAGCTTGTTATCTGAGGCCAGCAGCTCTTTGAGCCTTCTAACTGACTCTAGTCAAATAGGCTGTTTGGTTCAGTCCACAATTATGTGTCATGATTTTTGATTTCATCTATACCTAAATTCATTGAAGTCTAAGATCATAATATTTGCTCCTGATATTACCATATTTTCCGCCACTGTTAAGCGCTCTGAGATGGTACCCTGTATGGAGGGCGCTATATAAGTGCAAGTTATATAGTTATGTTGTTGTTTATGCCACACACCACAGAATCAAGTACACAAGAGACGTCCAAGCTTTTGGCGCAAAGGACCTCCTGGTGAATAATACAATGGTACTTGGAATAACTTGCCTTCCAAAAACTTTTCCAACAAAGAAACAACCATTCCTCTTTCCACTCATAGCAGGTCATAACATGCCTACAACAATTCAGAGTGATTACCTGACTAAATCCAGGCTCAAAAACACTCTCGACTCTCATCTTTCCCAATTAAATCCTCAATCAGTGCTAAATGAGTGGCTCAGTCGCTCACACTCTCACCTCCAAGTCAGAAAGTTATGAGTTCGAGCCCCCCCACAAGTCAGGTGGAAGTTCAGCTCACAGAAGATGCTCCAACAGAGCTGGGGCAAGAGTGCGCTACTTACTGGAGTCGTTAAACCTCACACCCCATCCATGCCTTTTCAGGGCGGACGTTAAAGATCTCCACCAGCACTGTCAGGGAAAAGTGAAAGGAATTTTTCGCTCTCTCTCACTCTCCCAATGTCCTGGCTGACAAATAGAACTGCTCAAGGCTGTTTGCAGAGACATCAATATGCTCAAAATCTTCTGCCTGCAAATCACACAGTCACTACACTTTACAGCAAAATCCTGCAAAGTGCTTGGAGATGTCTTCCTGGGGTGAAAGGTGCTGCATGCAATAATTGTATCATTTATCATTATTCATATACAGGAAAGGAGGAAAAAAAAGCTTTTTACAGTACAAAATCTATGTGGAATGTGGAGGAGCTTTGCAAATGCAGCAAAATATCAACCTCCCTGTGTGTTGGGTACTCAGGACACACACAGTCACACTCACACGCAGTCACACTCATACATAGTCACAGTCAGTTACACTCACACACACACAGTCACACACACACAGTCACACTCACACACAGTCACACTCATACATAGTCACACTGTCAGTTACACTCACACACACAGTCACACACATACAGTCACACTCACACACACAGTCACACTCATACATAGTCACACAGTCACAGTCATACTCACCACAGTCACACTCACACACAGTCACACTCACACACACACAGTCACACACACACAGTCACACACACACACACAGTCACACTCACACACACAGTCACACTCACACACACAGTCACACTCATACATAGTCACACAGTTACAGTCATACTCACACACACAGTCACACTCACACACACAGTCACACTCACACCACACAGTCACACTCACACTCACACACAGTCACACTCATAATCACACTACACACAGTCACACACCCCGTATCCTGAGTGTGTGTGACTGTGTGTAGTGTGATTACAGTACGAGGCTGCCTGGTGATGCCTCGCGGGGCCCCCTCTCACCTCCTGCTGACCCACAGATGCGGTACTAAGAACTAAGCCCCTCTGGGGCCCCCGCATGTGCAAACCTGCCGTATTCTCAGTGGCCTGGCACACACGGCTCCTGGTGACCCTCACACAGGGGGCTATAGCCACACATAGCTCCTGGTGACCCTCACACACTGTCTGTCGAGCACTCCCTGGTCAGTGAGATCACGGATTAGATGCAGTGTAAAGCTCCCGAGACACTGTCTATCTGCTTCACAGTCTCTCATTTCTCACCGTGAATTCTGTTATGCTATCCACCCTGGCTATAGCCTAGCATGAACACAATAGCTACGTGTGTGAGGTCCAGCAGGAGATGATGGTACCCCAGCACATGATCAGGAAAGAAGGGGACAAACTGTGATACTGGTGTCTTAACTTTGAGTCACTGGTGTCAGATCAAGTGGATACATGTACTGTACATGTCAAAATATTACTGTTAGTTCCTTTCCATCTCAAAGCAGCTTCTCATGTGGGCTTTGAAAAGTACCAGCTCCTGGAAACTTACCCACATTAATGGAATCTTTCAGAGCATTTGTGATCTTTCTTCTGCTGGAATGAGCAAATCACTTTCCACATTCAGCACATTCATAGTCTCTCCTGTGTGCACTCGCTGGTGATTTTGGAGGTATCGTTTCTTTGAGAAACTCTTTTCACATTCAGTACATTTATACGGTCTCTCTCCTGTGTGTGATCGTTGGTGAATCTGGAGATTCCCTGACTTACTGAATCTCTTTCCACATTCAGCACATTTATATGGTTTTTCTCCTGTGTGTAATCGCTGGTGACACAGGAGATAATCTGATGTTGTGAAACTTTTTCCACATTCAGCACATGTATACGGTCTCTCTCCTGAGTGTGATAGCTGGTGTCTCTGGAGGTGTCCTGCCTGTGTGAAATCCTTTCCACATTCAGCACATGTATATGGTCTCTCTCCTGTGTGCGATCGCTGGTGTCTCTTCAGGTGCCCTGATTGGGTGAAACTCTTTCCACATTCAGCACATTTGTATGGTCTCTCACCTGTGTGTGATCGATGGTGATTCAGTAGATAAACTGATGTTGTGAAACTTTTTCCACATTCGGTACATTTATACAGCTTGTCTTGTGTGTGTAATCGCTGGTGAACCTGGAGGTACCCTGAACTCGTAAAACTCTTTCCACATTCAGCACATTGATACGGTCGCTCTCCCGTGTGAGAACGCTCGTGTATCACGAGTTCTCTTAATGATGTGAAACTCTTTTCACATTCAACACATTTATACGCTCTCTCCCCTGCGTGTGATTGCTGGTGTCTCTGGAGATGCCCTGAACGTGTGAAACTCCGTCCACATTCGGTACATTCATACGGTCTCTCTCCTGTATGTGATTGTTGGTGTGTCTGAAGATTCCGTGATTGTGTGAAACTCTTTCCACATTCGGTACATTTATACGGTCTCTCTCCTGTGTGTGATCGATGGTGTATCTGGAGGTGCCCCGACTGCCTGAACCTCTTTCCACACTCGGCACATTGATACGGTTTCTCTCCTGTGTGTGATCGTTGGTGTCTCTGGAGGTCTCTTGATGTAGTGAAACTTTTTCCACATTCGGCACATTTATACGGTCTCTCTCCTGTGTGTAATCGCTTGTGAACCTGGAGGTGCCCTGACCGGGTGAAACTTTTCCCACATTCAGCACATTTATACGGTCTCTCTCCTGTGTGTGATCGCTGGTGAACATTGAGTTCCCTAGACTTTGTGAAATTCTTTCCACATTCTGCACATTTATACGGTCTCTCAACTGTGTGTGATCGCTGGTGTCTCTTAAGGTCCCTTGGCACAATGAAATCCTTTCCACATTCATCACATTTATACGGTCTCTCTCCTGTGTGTAATCGTTGGTGACTCTGGAGATTCGCTGACCTTCTGAAACCCTTTCCACATTCAGTGCATTTATATGGTTTCTCTCCTGTGTGTAATTGGAGGTGTCTATTGAGGTTCCCACACTGTGTGAAACTCCTTCCACATTCAGTACATTTATACGGTCTCTCTCCTGTGTGTAATCGCTGGTGACACTGCAGGTTCCCTAAACTTGTGAAACTCTTTTCACATTCAGTACATTTATGTGGTCTTTTTCCTGAGGTCGGTCTTTTTCCTGAGGTCGGTCTCTTTCCTGAGGTTGATCGCTGGCGACCCTGCAGAGATCCTGTTTGTGAGAACCCCTTTTCTCCAACAGTGTCTGTGATAGGTCCCTGACACTCTTTCTGCTGTGAACATGCATTTATGTTACAAGATGATTGTGTTGCTAATGTGTCTTGATGGAGCTCAGGATGTCTTCTGCTGTGTTTCTGAAGGAACTCGGCACAGGTAAACACAATATTACAATGAGCCTCAGAATCATCCACTTTGGTTGCTGTTGGGAGAAAAGAAAGATCTGTAAAGTTTTCTTTAGGAATTGCTGTTTGACCGATTTTGAATCCTTGCATTTGTAATGGATGTATTCCATTGTCGAAGGTGTCGTGCTTCAGATGAGGTATAAGTCAAGCTCCCCGGCCAAAGGTCAAAGAGTTAGGTCTTGAAGGAGGGGAGGAGTTGGAGGGACCCCAGGAATAGAGCTCCAGACAGCGGAGGCAAATTGGCAATGGTAGGGCAGAAGGGGTGGAGGGACATGAAGCAAGTCAGTGTTTGCTGGCAAAGGGGTTGGCTGGGTCGGAATATCGCAGAGGTCGTGTGGAGAGGGGGTGGAATGAAGGACATAGAGTAGGTTCTCACGAGGGAAAGAGTGAGGTTTCTGGGAGGAAACTGCACGATACGTCACTCAGTGTCTGTCCTCAGTCCCCACCGTGACACCGAGGGAGGCTCCAATCATCTGTTCTGACAGAGAACCACAAAACACGGTCCTCACTTCACCCTATTTCTGTTCTCTCCCCCTCTCGCGCTCTCTCTCTCTCTCCCCCTCCCGCTCGATCTTTCCCCCTTTCACTCGCTCTCCCCCTCTTCCTCTCGCTCCCCCTCTTGCTCTCGCTTACGCTCCCCCTCTCGCTCGCTCGCCCCCTCTCGATCTCCCCCCTCCCCCTCTCGCTTGCTCGCTCTCGCTCCCCCTCACTCTCTCCCCCCCCCCACTTGCTTGCTTTCTCCTTTCCCCACTTCTCTCTCTCTCCACCTCCCGCTCGCTCTCTCTCTCTCCCCCTCCCGCTCACTCTCTCTCTCTCTCTCCCCCACTCGCTGTCGCTCTCTCTCTCCCCCTCCCGCTCACTCTCTCTCTCTCTCCCCCTCTCGCTCGCTCTCTCTCTCCCCTTCCCGTTCACTCGCTCTCTCTCCCCCTCTCGCTCGCTCTCTCTCCCCCTCTCACTCCCCCTCCCGTTCGCACTCTCCCCCTCTCCCCCCTCACTTGCTCTCTCCCTCTTCTCGCTCGCTCTCTCTACCCCTCTCACTCGCTCTCTTCCCCCTTCTCCCTCATTATCTCCCGCTCCCCCTCTCTCGCTCGTTCTCACTCCTCCCCCCCTCTCCCCGTCCCACTCGCTCTCTCTCTCCCACTCGCTCTCTCTCTCCCCCCTCGCTCGTTCTTTCTCCCCCTCCTGCTCTCTCTCTCTCTCCCCCTCCCGCTCGCTCTCTCTCTCCCCCTCCCGCTCGCTCTCTCTCTCCCCCTCCCGCTCGCTCTCTTTCTCCCCCTCGCTCTCTTTCTCCCCCTCCCGCTCGCTCTCTTTCTCCCCCTCCCGCTTGTGCTCTCTCTCCCCCTCCCGCTCGCTCTCTCCCCCACTCTCGCTCGCTCTCTCCCCCACTCTCACTCGCTCTCATCCCCCTTCTTTCTCGCCCCCGCCCGCTTGCTCGCTCTCTCCTTTTCCCCCTTCTCGCTCGCTCGCTCCCCCCATCTCACTCGTTCTCTCACCCCCTTACCCTTGCTCGCTCCCCCGCTCTCTTGCTCTCTCTCCCCCTCTCGCTCACTCTCTCTGTCTCCCCCTCCCTCTCGCTTGCTCTCTCTCACCCTCGCTCTCCCTCCCGCTCTCTCTCTCCTCCACTCTCACTCGCTCCCCCTCTCGCTCGCTCACTCTCTCTCCGCCTCTCTCTCTCACCCTCTACTCTCTTTCTCTCTCCCTCTCACCCTATCGCTCGTGCTCTCTCCCCCCTTGCTCGCTCCTTCTTCCCCTCCCTCTCACTCTCCCCCTCCTGCTCACTCTCTCCCTCCTGCTCGCTCTCCCGAGAGGGGGGAGGAGGCCGAGAGGGGGGAGGGGGCAGGAGAGGGGCCTTGAGGGGCGTGAACGGGTGAGGGGCCCAGAGGGGGAAGCAGCGGGCGGGGTACTAGAGGGAGAGACGACAGATGGGCCAAGAGGAGGAGGGCCCCAGAGGGGATAGCGGTGGGGGGAGTGCCTAGAGGTTGAGGGGCCTAGAGGGATAGGCGGATTGGGGGTTCTAGAAGAGGAGGTGGTGAGGGAGGCTAGAGTGGGGCCAAGAGGGGGAGATGGCTGGGGAGAGGCCTGGAGGGGGGGGGCGGGTCCGGGAGGTGGTAGGGGGTGTGGCCGAATGGTGGGGGCGGGTGGCCGAGAGGTGGGGGCGGGTGCCCGAGAGGTGGGGGCGGGGATGTGTGGCCGAGAGGTGGGGGGTGGCCCAGAGGAGTGGGGTGGGCCGAGAGGTGGGTGAGGGTGGGCCGAGAGGTGGGGGGGGTGGGCCGAGAGGTTGGGGGGGGTGGGTCGAGAAGTTGGGGGGTGGGCCGAGAGGTGGGGGGGTTGGGCTGAGAGGTGGGGGGTGGGCCGAGAGGTGGGGGGTGGGCCGAGAGGTGGGGGGGCTGTGCCGAGAGGTGGGGGGTGGGCTGAGAGGTGGAGGGGTGGGCCGAGAGGTGGGGGGTGGCCGAGAGGTGGGGGGGCTGGGCTGAGAGGTGGGGGGAGTGGGCCGAGAGGTGGGGGGAGTGGGCCGAGAGGTGGGGGGGGTGGGCCGAGAGGTGGGGGGGGCAGGGCCTGGATGGGGAGGCGACAAGCGGGGGCAAGTGTGGGAGGCGACGGGGGGATAGAGCGGCAGGCCCTGTGGAGGGGGCGATAGAGAAGGGGGGGGAAGGTGGGAGGTCCCCGAGGTTTACCAGACGCCAGAGGTTAGAAGGGATTCCTTCACTCAGAGCATCAACGTCGAGGGATAGAATTGGAAAGGCAAACACGGTAAACAGTCAGCAGCGGCAAACACACAAACCGCCTCCTGTGCCCAATCTTTCCGTGTCGCTTTTTGCCGGAAGAATACCTCTCTTAGATGATGTCAGATCTTCCTGGTCACCGACTGAGACGCCTCCTCTGGTGACCAGATCGCTCTCTTCATTTGCTGAACTCGTGGCTTCACTCACGTCTCTTGTGCGGTCACCTCCACCCTCAGCTGATCCTGACGGGTTGTGTGAGATCTCCTTTTTGCTCTGCAATGGCGAACGTAAGAACATTATAAGCGTTACCATATATAAGCTGTTCTTACTTGTTGGGAAATCCGTAACCAGGGGAACACAAGTTACTATGGGATGTAAATGAGGTGCATTTTAGAGGAAGTGAGATGGACACATGAGGAAGAAGGGAATAGAAGGGAGGGAGTAAAGAGTGGATGGAAAGTGGAACGTGTGGAGCAAACACCAGGATGGGCTAATGGGGATGAATGGTCTGTCACTCTGCTGGAAATCAATATAAAGTTTATTCACTATTTAGTTAGTTACCTCCTTGCGTTTCTTCCTCGCTGGCTTCCTCTTCCTGGCTTCCATCCTGAATGCAGGCTTGAAGTATTTCACTTCTGAGAGGTGGACAAGAAAGAGCAGCTCATATCAAGGGCACAAAACTCTGTACTCCCATCACACCAATCCTTACCCGGCTCCACTGACTCCCAATTGCCCTCACTCCCCCAACTGCCTCCGCTTTGCTGGCTGTGGCCTCCTCTGGGGGCAGAGGGGAGTGGGGGTGGAGTTGGGTGGGGGGTTGGGGGCGGTGCGGGGCGGTTGGGGGTGTGAGTCGGTAGGGGGAAGTGGGCGGTGGGGGAAGTGGGGGCAGTGGGGGGGGGCGGTGGGGGGTGGGGGCAATGGGGGCAGTGGGGGGGGGGCGGTGGGGGGTGGGGGGTGGGGGGGGGTGGGGGGTGGGGTCGGTGGGGGGTGGGGGTCGGTGGGGGGGTGGGGGTCGGTGGGGGTCGGTGGGGGGGTGGGGGTCGGTGGGGGGTGGGGTCGGTGGGGGGTGGGGTCGGTGGGGGTCGGGGTCGGTGGGGGTGGGGGTCGGTGGGGGGTGGGGGTCGGTGGGGGGTGGGGGTCGGTGGGTGGGGGGGGGTCGGGGGGGGTGGGGGGCAGTGATGATGTACACAGTGGGAGAAGCTGTCAATCCGCTCGTGTCTCCGGGTGACGGTTTGTGATCACATGATGCAGCACTGCCGACTAATCACACTGCAGGGTGGCACCATGTCATAGCAGTGGGCGGGGCTGGTGCAGGGTCGTAGGGGTGGGGGAGGGGCTGAGGGGTTGTGGTGGGGGAGGGGCTGAGGGGTTGTGGTGGGGGAGGGGCTGAGGGGTTGTGGTGGGGGAGGGGCTGAGGGGTTGTGGTGGGGGAGGGGCTGAGGGGTTGTGGTGGGGGAGGGGCTGAGGGTTGTGGTGGGGGAGGGGCTGAGGGGTTGTGGTGGGGGAGGGGCTGAGGGGTTGTGGTGGGGGAGGGGCTGAGGGGTTGGGTGGGGGAGGGGCTGAGGGGTTGTGGTGGGGGAGGGGCTGAGGGGTTGTGGTGGGGGAGGGGCTGAGGGGTTGTGGTGGGGGAGGGGCTGAGGTTGGAAGGTCAGAGTGTAGTGCTGTCTACGGCACTCCCTCACCCCTCACGCGACTGAAACTCTGGTCCACACCTTTATCACCTCAAGGCCGGACTATGGGAACTCTCTCCTCGTCGGCCTTCCCTCACCTCCCTCCACACTGCAGGTCATTCAGAACTCTGCAGCTCCTGTACTGTCCCGCACCAGACACCGCGACCACATCACTCCCACCCTCACCCTCGCCCTCGCTCGCCTTCACTGGCTCCCCATCCCCCAGAAGATCGAATTCAAGATCCTCATCCTCACTTACAAGGCCATTCACGGCCTCGCTCCCTCCTACCTCTCTGACCTACTATCCCCCTACCTACCTGCCCGTACCCTCCGTTCCTCTGGCTCCGGTCTGCTCCAGATACCCCGCCCCAACCGCCCTACCATCGGTGGCCGGGCTTCAGCCTCTCAGCCCCGAGGCTCTGGAACTCCATCCCCCAGTGCCTTCGCCGCTTCCTCCCTCCCCTCACCCTGACCATTTCCCCCCAATGCTCGCGTCCCGACCACACTGTCCAGCGCCTTGGGACGTCCTCCCGACGTGAAAGGCGCTCTATAAATGAAATTTTGTTGTTGTTGTCCTTGTCCCACGGCTTATCACATTTTCCAGACATCTCAAAGCGCTTCACAGGATACACTCTCAGGTGAAATTCACTATATTTTGTGGGTGAAACTTGGCAGCCAATTGCACACAGCAGCGTCCCCACCCACAGTCGTGGATTGAAGTGACCAATTTATTATTATTTATTTTGAAGGGATTATTACCTCCGGAAAAGTAATCCGTCAATCAACTAACAACCGGGTTCCCACTTACTGCTGGGTAAACAGACGTGTGGATTTAGGAAACTTGCCCAACATTTGGCCCTGCCGGGAATCGAGCCCAGGTCTCTCGCTTGCTCTAACCACTGAGCTTATAGGACTCCACTTGATTTAACCTTGCTTCGATACAACATGTACGATGGCTAAACTACAACAAATCACACTTGTATAGCGCCCTTCACGTCAGAAAGTTATCTAAACAGGTCTCCAGGCCTCCCCCATCTACTGCGGTAACAAGAGGGAGACAGACCGAGGCCAAGGCTGTCAGGACTATCTAAACCAAGGTTACTTGGCTATCAATCGCTGGAAGTTCATTTGAGATGCACACCAGAGACAGTATAGAGGTGGTCACCATAATTGGCAAGGACAACGTGACCAGCTTATGTGAAAAGAAAATAGCCTTTAAAATACAACAGGGAGCTACAGCGACGGATGGACACCAAGCCTCCCCGGTCAGCAATGACGTTCCCAGGCCTCCGCAGGGTATGTTGAAGCCCTTCGGATGGATATCTGGGGAAGGCCAACAGTCACAGCACAATTTTGAGGCTATTCTGTGTATTATTGGTCGACTTAGGTGCCTCCTAAACTATTTTCTGAGAAGCGTAACCTGAAATAGCCACAACTTTCTTCAGTTTTTTTTGTGGTCAGCCAGTGTCTGACACACATTGTGGAATAGAATCACGCTCTCTCCCTGGAGGGACATATCCTGCTTACCTCATCCCAGAGAGTGTTAGGCGCAGGCTGGCAAGATCCAAGGCTTGAGGACCCCAGAGTGTGCATTGGGGTAACTGCTGGACTTTATCAGACTTCGTGCAGCTAAATGCTGACAAGATGGAAGCCATACTCCTTGGTTCCCATCAACGTCTTCTGTCCTGTGGCTGACTTTGGCAACTTCCCTGGCCTATTCCTCACTCACTGATAGTGAGTACCCTCAGATAGTGATACCCTCAGATAGTGCGCAACCTAGGCCTCAGGTGCAACCCACAGCTGTTCTTCCTTCCCCACATCGGCCGCTTTCCTCTGCCATATTGCCGGCCTCTGACCGTACCTTACCCCAGAAGCAGCGAAAAGTCTCGTCCACACATTTGTTACCTTCTGATTCGACTTTTCAAGGCTCGCTGGTCTCCCCAACTCCAATACCTACAAGATGCAGCTGATCCAAACCTCCACCGCACAATACACACCCAAATACTCACTCACACGGCAGCCAATTCTGCAGAGCAGTGTCCCACAAACAGTCACGGATTGAGTGACCAAATTATTATTATTATTATTTTGTTTGAAGGAATTATTACCCTGGAAAAGCGATCCACCAATCGACTAACAACTAGGTTCCTACTTATTGCTCGGCAAACTGAGGCATGTGTTTGGAGTAAGGAAACTTGCTTAACGTTTCGCTGTGCCTGAGAATAGAAACCAGACCCTCTCGTTTGGGAGGTGCGTGCTCTGTGGTCACATCAATCCACAACTGTTTGTGAGACACACCTGTGCGAAAATTAGTTTGACTATGCAAACGCCCTGCGTGTCGGCCTTCCCAACTCCTCCCCCCACAGGCTGCAGATAATCCAGAACTCTGCAGCCCGTGTCCTCTCCCGCACCAAACTCCGTGACCCCATCTCCCCCACTCTCGCCCGACTCCACTGGCCATATCCTTCGGAGGATCCAGTTCAAGATCCAGGTTCTCACCTACAAAGCCCTCCATGGCTTCGCCCCACCCCACCTCTGCGACCTCCTAACCCCCTAATAACCCGCCCGCTCCCTCCGCTCAGCCGGCTCTGGCTGCTCCACGTCCCCCGACCCACCCGACCCACCATTGGCCTTCAGCCACTCTGCCTCCAACCTCTGGAATTCCATCCCCCAGTCACTCCGCCTCGCCCCCTCCTTAGCCTCCTTCAAGTCCCACCTCAAAACCCTCCTCTTCGACCATGCCATCGACTGTGGAGTCCTGTAGCTCAGTGGTTAGAGCACTCGCTTTGCGAGCGAGAGACCTGAGTTCAATTCCAGGCAGAGGGTGAAACCTTGGGCAAGTTTCCTTACTCCACACAGAGCCTAATAATAATCCTCTAAAACAAAAAACAATAATAAATTGTTCATTTTCAATCTACGACTGTTTGTGGGACATTGCTGTGCGCAATTGGCTGCCGCGTTCGCCCACAAATATACAGTCAATTCACTTTACAGTCTATTCTGTGAAGCGCTTTGCGACGAATCGAATCGAAGACGTGATAAGGCGCTGCATCAAATTCAAGGATTATTATTATTATTACTTGGAAAAACCGATTCATAATTTAGAACATTGCCGACGGACGATAGCAGATGGAGAAACAGTTCTGAATTGACCGAGCAGCGCAGAGCCAAGCGTGGAGGGCGCTATATAAATCCAAGTTGTTGTTGTTGTTGTTGATCCCCTGGATTGCGTTCTCTTTAACTTCCAGAAAAAAATAAAGAATATTTACGATAGGTTTTAGGCTGATCTCCACCTCTTGATGTTTCTGATTGTGAAGTTCGATGTCCTGCTGTGGAACCTGCTGCACACTTCAAAGCAAACGCTCTCCTGCTGCTCACCTCACGTTTAACCCGGAATCAGACACGGACCGACCGGCGCCTGACCGGTGGCTCACAATGCACGTTGGGATCACACCAGTCCTTGCCGCGCTGCACCGGCTTCCAATCACTGAACGGATCGCCTTGTTTTCAAATCACTTAGTTCCCTCGCACCTCCCTACCCACCTGACGTGCTGACTCCCCCCCCCCCACCCCCCCACTCCGCCACCCGCTGCCTCTGCTCGGCTGGGTTTGTATCTCGTGCCCTCCACTCCACCATCGGCGGCCGTGACTTCAGCCCCTGCGCCCTGATGCTCTGGAACACTCGCCTCGATCCCTCCATCTCGCCCCCTCCCTCTCCACGTCTAAAGACCTTCCTTTTTGATCGTGGTTACAGTAACCCCTCCCTCCCTCCCTCCCTCTCCCCCCGGGTCATTGTCAGACTCCGCCACTGTGAAGGCCTTCGGGAGGCTATCCCGTGTGAAGGTCATATACAAATGCAAGTTGTTGTTGTTGAGATCAGCAGATTGAGTGCCAATCATTACGCTGTATCCAATCTCCCGGTCACGTCATTCTGTTCAGCAGCACTGCCCTCTCTATAAAGATCCAGTACCAGCTGTGCAGATGCTGTTCTGACACTGCCCGCCATCTCTTCTTGTCTCCTAAGGTAAGCAAGGATTTTTGACTCTGCGTTAGTTCCTCTCCACATTGTGCCCTCAGTT